AATCAAGCCAGTCTAAATTGCCCATATATGGTTAAGCTGCTCCCCAACTCCCCTTACAACCATTAACCATTACCCCCCCCCTTAGTTACAAGTGGCAGAAACAAATCAATCCAACTCCCAACGAATGCAATACAATGGAAAACAACAACAGTTGGGTGATGCAGGTTCTGACAATACCATTTTGTTCAGATAAACTTGAAGGAGTAATCCTAACTTTTAATCAACAGAGATATCGACTCATCTCAGTCCAAAAAGTGAGAGATTTTTATGAAAGTTTCAAAGAGGAGATGGAGAAAGTGCAATTGGATCAAAAAGAGGAAACCATACAACAAATACAGCAAGAAGATGATGAAGAGTCTACAACATTGGGCACTATGCTGGCATTGACTTTTCTAAGCTTCTAAAATAAACATGGATTTTAAATGCCTAATGTGGAATATAAATGGAGCAAATGCCCCTAAAAAAGGAAAGAAGATATTCCATTGTTTGAAAAAAATTAAAACAAGATGTAATATGCCCACAAGCCAGAACTCTTTTTATTAGGACTTATGGATAGTCAATTAGAAAATACTTATGGAAAACTGATTTTATATATGGTAACTACAGCAAGATTATTATATGCACAAAGAAGGAGAAATACTGAAATACCCACAATGGAGGAGTGGATTGTGAAGATCACAGAACTAGCAGAGATATACAAACTGAACTGTTTTGTCAGGTACAAAACAATAAGTACTGTTATAAAAGACTGGAAACCTTTTATGGACCTTTTGCTGAAAATGGAAAAAAGTGAATTGGTGATTTCTGGATTTGACAGTTGAAAAAGATTGAATAAGGGGCTGAAGAGATTATTGCAATGTTAAGGAGGTAGGAGGGATAATGAGTTTGTTTGTAACTGCTGTAAAGAAGGGCGGAAGTCGCTTCTTTAACTATCTTCTTTCTTTCTTTAACTATATTCTTTTCTGCACTTTTTCTTTTTTCTTTTTCTCTTTTTCTTTCTTTTCTAAATATACTTGTATATTTATCTTTTAGCCATGTAAAAACTTTTAATAAAAAAGAAAATCATTCTAGCTAGCACAAGCACAAAGACTATTGAATAATGGGTTCAATGCATTTTAAAAACATGCATTTTAAACTTCAATATTTTTTATTCAAGAATAAACACTCCAATCTGATGGACTGCTAGAAGGACAACTGGCTAAGGGTACTCAATGACAATCAATGTCATTGCACCCACTTCAGTCAAGTTGGAGTTAGGATAAGCTCACCCCACATTTTCTTCCAGTCAGGCCATACCCTTCATCCAGGATCATATCCTGAATAGTTATGAATTTACCTGGTAGTCAAAAGGAACGTGTCTATACCAAGGTATTAATACCATAAATCTCATGATTCACAGAAAACTAGTTCATCATAATTCTACCTACAAAATGTACTCCATTCTAAAACACATAATCAAACATGATAAAGAAGTATTGTTTAGTTCTTGTTTAGTTTGATTGTTTAGTTCTTTCTCCAGATATTTAAAACATTTTACAATGTGAAATGCTAAGGCCATTAACCAGCCACAACCTTTTTTGTATGTGAACACTGATTCATGGCTCCTGTATAAACTTACTATCACAAATTACAACCCCTATCTTTATGAAGAAAGCTATGAACAAGTTAGTTAAAAGGTATACTATGTATGTTATTTAATATTCAAACAAAAGAACTATCACACATTAATTACTTTGGCAACAATACATGAGGTTGATGATACATTTTTTCTCAAATTTCCCCTATTTGCATGCTACAGTTTCAGTAATTACAATGATCACAAATAGCCTCTTACACCAAAGCAATGACTCTTCACTAAACTTTTCTTAACAATGTTAATATATGCAAATTACACTTATAGTTGCCAGGAGGTAAATGGATTCCTGATATAAAACTTCTATACAAAACATCAGAAAACACATCTTAAACGGTTCCATATCTTTAGATACTATATAAGTAGAATGGATTAAACCACAGATGGTCCTCATTTAACAAGCACTCATTCAGCTACCAAACTTATGACAGCGCTGAACGAATGGTAATTATGACTGATCCTCGTACTTACGGCCATCATGTCGTCTCTGTGGTCATGTGATCACAATCCAGGCGCTCAGTGCCCAGTTTGCAATTGCAACGTTGCAGCATCCCTTGGCCATGTGATCACCATTTGCAACCTTCTTTGCTGGCTTCCTACAAGAACCCCTATATGACTTTTAGCTTGTAATTAGTAATGCAGCCATTTAAATTTGACTCTGAAGTAAGAACTCTCTTTGTTTTTTAAAAAGGAAAGAATTGTCCAGCCTCCTGGACTGACCATAAATAGAAATAAAACTTGAAACTCCCTACCAACTCACTCCCCAGAAGAAGGAGGCTCATTAATCGCAGGACAACATCATAACTCCTCCTCTGGAAAAAAAAAGTCCTCAGTTATACTGCTTCTCTTTTTCATAAACAAGGAGGGAACATTTAAAAAGCCAGCAAAATATTGGATGTTACCAGGAGCAAATGTTAAACCTACAATCTATCTATTCCCCTTCTCCCACTTGTCTTTTCCCAATTGTTTTTAATTAGTAAATTGCTATTTGTTCTATCAATAACAAGAATTTAGGCTTCTCTTTTGAGTTGGTGCCTATCCCTCAACCTATTTTATAAGTCAATAATTGGAGTTTGTTGAGGGCAATTTTGATTAGGCACTCTCTGTTCTGTTGTAAGAACTAGAAAATTGTCCTATTAGTTCAAAATTAAGGAAGGGAAGTTTATAACTTCATGGACATTACAGGCTAGTTTTTTTGTCTTTCTTTCAGCTCAATTACTTCTTCTCCTCAGCTGACACTATATTCCAAATATCATGGGATTCCATTGGCTCCTATCAACCTTTGAGCATAGAGAGTGCTATTCTTGAACTATGAACTTTTTTGAGATCACACTACTGTACAAAATACCATAGCTAATAATTATTTTAACACATGTATTTAATACCCTTTGGTCCAGATGAGCAGATCAGGATTTTACTATGCCATGGGAATATAGCAAGTGGTGTTTATGTCCCATGTTTTACATTAATCTGCATTTTTTAAAAAATTGTACTGAAATGTGAATTCTTGGATTATTTTCTCACAAAATATGTACTTGATGTTTTTTCAAAATAAATATTTCTAGAAATATACTTGACAGGCCTTCTTCAAGTAGAATTGATCCATCTGATACAAATATCTAGGAAAAATTGTTGACAGTTCTACACATAATCAGGATATTAGGAGGGCTGAAGCCAGGAGGAAATGCTTCTCTGTCATGGGTCCACATTATGGAATTAAATTTCCCCCAACCGTTTTCGCATTCCAGAAGCAGATGAAAATGGAACTCCTTGTGGAGGGCCTTTAATTAGTTGGATCATGCAGTGATATTTTCGCCAACTATGTACTTCTCTGTTTTAGTTTAATTTGTGTTAAATTGTTTTTAATTTTATCTGTATTTTGTTGTGGATTTTTAATTTGTATATTGCCAAGAGTTGTATAATCCTGGTATTGTAACTATTTAATAAATAAATAAATGATTAAATATTTTTAAAGTCAATGCTGAATTAATTTTTGAACTGTATTTGACAAACTTGAAGAAATGCTAAATTGAAAGAACAGCTGACTTTTCCATGACACCTTGATTGTGTTAGTAAGAATGGGGTGTTTCATTTCAAAGTATGGATTGAATGATTCTTCAGCATCCTTCTTTCCTCCCTCTCCTGAAACTAGAAATGACTCTTTCCAAAAGATGATAGATGATAGAGATAGATAGATGATAGAGAACTTTCAGAAAGCAAATTCAAAGATATATGCTTCATAATTGTTTTACTTAATGTGAAAGAGTTTTTCATATTTATTACTGAAGTAATGCAGAAAAAAAATAATCAGACTCAAACCACCAAGCAATTTAGAATATTAGAAATGGGGATTGTAGGGGAGGAGGAAAGAAGAGTTAAAGGAGATCTAATCTGGCAGGAAGTTTTGCAAGCTTGTTCCTCATATACTTTTCAGAACTTACAATGCTGCTTTCTCCTATACAATTATTTAAAAAAACACACACTTCTGTCTGTCAGAATAAAGGAACAACTTTTAAACAGGGTGTGGAGTCTTTGTATCTTTGTTACAACTGTGCTTACTACTGTTTGAAAATACTAAGGTTTGTCTACAATGTGGTCAGGGCAGAGCTCCTTTTGATGTGTTTTTTGGTTTTCCTTTTTCAAATCTATACAACTAAAATAAGGATGGGAAAATCCTTCAGGCATAACAGTACTTCATAGCCTCTCCAGCAATCAGTAAAGGTGTGGGTCACTCCAGCAATCAGTAAAGGTGTGGATTGAGTTGGTTGCAGAAGTAATAAAAAGACATTGCCATATTTACTCATGGATAAGCTGAGAATTTTAGGTACAAAAATACATCCCAAAATTTGGGTTCAGCTTATCTGCAGATGGTCTTATCCACAAGTATAAACAGTAGGTTTTTTCCTCAGCTTTTAAAAAATATCCTATATATATTCACAGATAAGCCCATCTGTAGATAAGATGACCCTTGAATTTTTAATCAAAATACCATGAAAAATATACCACTTGTGGGTAAGCTGATTGTGAAAATTAAAACATATGAAAATGTTGAGGGTTGGCTTATCCACGGATGGGCTTATATGTGAGAATATGCATGTCAGGCCCAGCCCAAGAAACAACAGTGAAACTGTCTGGTTCAGTTAAGCTCCTTCATTTGCTCACACCATATAGACAGAATCTTGACAGACTCAATCTATACTACAACAACTAGTGGATATACCCTGGGAGATTCTAGGGAATGGTCATCCTGAACTTCTTATGCTTCCCATGCTCCCCCTGTGGACTGTGTTGTCTTTGGTCTCCTTTCCCTTCCTGGTGGCCTTGCTGTTTGTTGCTATCCCCCACATCACCCTCCTCTTTGTAGATAAATTCCATCACAATGCAGTATATAGTGTAAATCCTAAGTCTGTGATAGGAGCATTTTATATATAAATACAAACACACACACACACACACACACACACAGAGAGAGAGAGAGAGAGAGAG